GAGTAGGTGACAGGACGGTTCCACAGTGTGTGGCATCAACTGTCAAACATGGAGGAGGCAGTGTGATGGTCTGGGGCTGTTTGCTGATCCAGGGTCGGTGACTCGTACAGAGTGAGAGGCTCCCTGAACCGAACCAGCTACCACAGCATCCTGCAGCACCATGCAGTAGTCAAGTGTTTATTGTCAACCCAACAATATTGACTCAAGTATGCAGTGGGATGAAATATCGTCCTCCTGGATCAAAGGTGCAAACTGTAACAATAAAATTAAAAAAATTAAATATACAACTATACAGAAATAAGATAAACTAAGAATAAGTACAAGAGTATTGCACTTGAATAGAAAAGAATGAGAATAAATAAATAGTGCACAGAATAAATACAATACTCAAAGTTGAACAGTACAATACAGAATAGGGCCAGTGTTGGAAGAGAGAGGAGTGTTATGTGGTCCAAGAAGTGTGTATACTCTCTGGTATGGACCTAGTTGGTGAGGGGTTGATCCTACAGCAAGATAATGACCCAACACAAAGCCCAAGCTGTGCCAGAACTGCCTCAGGAAAAAGTAGAAGATGGTGAGCTTGTAAACATGGAGTGTCCAGCACAGCCTCCAGATTTAATCTTCTAGGACCTGGTGTCCACATATGTGGACGAAATACTGAATTTTACTCTACAAGGGCCTGATATCCACTTACGAGGACATTAAACTGCCACTGTTCTATTAAAATTTAAAATGAATGTCCTGGATCTCATTTTTGTCAAAAACAAAAATCAGGTAAACAAATAAAATTATCAGGTTATTCTTTGTTTTTACATTCATCAGGTCAGCACAAATAGCAAAGAGAAATAAAAAATGCCATAAAAGAGTTCGGGTCTTAGGTTAAACCCCATCGAGCTGGTTTGGGATGAACTGGACAGAAAAGTGAAAGCAAAACAACTGACAGGTGTCAAAGTTCACAGGAACTTGTGTAACAGATATGGGAAGAATTTTCTGAAGAATATTTTATTTCTATTGTAGAAAGAATTTTACGTGTGTGTTCAGCTGTTATAGCTGCCAAAGGTGGCTACACCAATGAGTCAGAAGTTCTGAATACATGTTGGTCCATAAATTGATTCTATGATTTCTTTTTTAACTCAATTTCTTATTTGTACAATGCTTTAATTTCAGAGTGCAATGAGACATTAAACTGCATCATTTTTAATTTAAAAAAAAAATGGGAAAATTGGGGTGTTCTGTAATGTACACATGGTTGCATAATCACACAAATTTGTGCGTCATGACATCGCATGCTCATGCGAATATGTGGGAAGATACTCATGTCCACACCTGTTTTCGTTTTGTGACAGTTTAACTTGTATGTTTACCTGGAGCACAGCGTAAACAGATAATACGTATTATGTTCTGCAGTGAGCTATATGTTTTGATACTTTTTATTGTTTCAACACAGGAAGTGGTTAACCACACCCCACAATTTTTCAGATTAGTAACTGCACATTTTGTGACACGTTAGCTGTCCTGTAGAAAACACTCACTGGTAGTCACGTCAGATCTGTCCTCGTGCACGTCATATAATCCACAAAGTGCTCGTAGTTGAAGACAAACAAGCAAACATTTATTTCCAGGCTTGAAGTCACAGGATTTAGCCTGCAGCTAGTTAAAGCCTCCACTTCTACTTAACAATCAATATTAAACTAAAATATGACTTTGTAGTCAAATGACATTCCCCATTATCTTGTGCTTATTCATCTCCATAATAATTCAAATCAAAATTATTACCAAACATATACGAAATATGATTAAAGTTAGAGAAACTTACAGACCTTTGTCTTCTACATTAGCTAATGTTAGCTAATGTGCTAATTAGCGAATGTTAGCTAATGTTAGCTAATGTGCTAAATAGCTAATGTTAGCTAATGTTAGCTAATGTGCCTTTGATGTTTTTACTCGGCTGGTTTGGGGAAATGTTTCTTTGAATGTCCTGATCTTTGTTTAAATATTAGATATAGATTATTAGTTTCATTTTTAGCTCACTGCTTGATTTTAGCACAGCTGAAATATCCGGTGCTGCTTCTGCTCAGACGCTAGAAAAACAGATTTTTAGGACGTACACTTACCGTCTGCTGACTGAATTTTGGTTAGAGAAAATTTCAACAAATCTTGATGTGAAAAACTTTAAAAATTTCCACAAAAAAACTGCACAGTGTTTAATGAGTTAAAAAATTATGGCAACATTGCAAAAGATTTTTGAGTATCAAAAAACTTGTATGTTTTTAATTTCTTAGAACCAAGTTTGTTCAAATGTATTACTTTAAATGTCTTCACCTTAAATACATGAGCAGAAATCTTAAAATTAATGAATGTATGACTGAACTTCTACCTAAGTTGATGCAACTCGTTGATGCAACTCATTAGCGTTTGCAGCTTTTACAGTACACACAGAGTACCACTGGCACAGTCTCAGGTCCCTGAAACGTTTGCTATCATCTGCAGTGTTACTGCTTTTAAAATCCTGGAGTACAGGAAATGTGTAAGACTGTAAATCTTCTGGTCATTTTGGTTTTCAGTGTTTTGCTGTGGAGTTTTGATTATGGTTCTGATCTCATTGTTTGAGGTTTTTGGTGATATTGTGGACTTTCCTGTCCAGATGATGATCAGTGTCTGGAGTTTGTGCCTCCCCCTCTGTGTCGTATCTGTGTTACTGTCTTAGTTTTCACCCTTGTGTTTGGTCTCTTTTGGTTGTTTTCTGTTTTACTTTGAAGGTCAGTTTTCTTTTGTGTCCTGCGTAAGTTTGGCTTCATTTCTCTGACTTGGCCTGATGGTTCTCGCCTGCTGTTCGCTGCTTCCTCCTCTGTGCTGTTGTTGTAGATCTAGTGCTGTGTTCCTTGGTGCTTGGCTCACTCGTCCACCTAAAAAAGTGTTTTGTCACCTTGTGCTGGTGCCTGTGCCCTGTGCAGCTCTTCAGCACCACCAGACCTGCACCGTTTAACTTCTGCGCAGGAAAAAAGGTTTCTGGTTATGGATTACAGCCAACATGTTTCTAATACGTACGGCTAAGAGTGTCTGATGGGATGAGCAGAAAAATCATTGGAGACAGTGTCCAGGACAATGAACTCCAATCTGAGTTGGACTGTTCTCTTCAACAAAAGCTGGGACAAAGCTCTTTAGGTCAGACGATTTCTACTTTCTTTAAAGAGTGTTTGAGTCTTAGAGATGTTTAAGTTGTGCTGTGAACAGAGAAGCAGAGATTTAAAGGAGCTGAAATGACCAAACTCGCCATGCTTTGGAGGGACACGTGCAGTGCTTTGCATGAGGATGCAGGCAGACTCATTGTCACGATAGTCGTCCATGCCTAGATGGCTCAATAAAGCTTCTCTAAAGTAGCAGGATTGTGACTATTACTTCAAATAAACGAGTCACTGGTTACACTGTGCAGCTGCAGAAGTGAAAAATGAAGCGAGAGGTGCTGCAGAGTCCGACCGGAGCAGCAACGAGGACCTCCAACAGCTCCGTGAGATACTGTAAGATATCAGACAAAGGGAAGCTGTGTGTGTCTGTGTGTGCAATGAAGAGGTTTCCAGAGCAAAAAGGGCAACCCCCTCTCTGTCCTCAGGAGGCCGAGTGGGCGGACGGTCCTCAGCAGATGGATTGCTGCTCGCCTGCCGTCACTTCATGAACCTGGAACGGAGGCGGAGCCTGAAGTCTATCAGTGACATCATGTTTTTGGATTATTTCTTCTCTTTCTTTCTCTTTTCTACACATTCTAGTCTGATTTTAACCCAGTTGTGTGTGTTATCATATGTTATGAAGCACTTATTATGATTTTTATGCACATTTGAGCATGAGATAATCAAAAGGCTCCTCAGAAGGAAACATTAAAGATGAAGAGAAATGACAAAAAGCATTCAAAGAGTCATAAAATCACCTCAAAAAAAAATGCACAGTCCCCACAAAAGACACAAACACACAAATAATGATAATAATGATAATAAGTTAAAGGATCATTTTGTTTCGCAAAGTCATTTATGGTGTCTTTGGACTTTTATTTAGGCTGATTTTTTTAAATGCTACTTAAATAATGAAACACATCAAAATATTCAATGAAACGATCGAGTCATTCACGTAGTCGGTTTTCCTCCCACAGACCAAAGACGTGATGTTAGGTTAAATAACCACATAGAGACCAACACCTTTGCACAGTGAACACATGATGTCCACAAAGAAGCAAAACCGAGGGAACAAAATGAATATAAACACACAAAAGATGCAAAATTAGCAAAAAGAGCCACAGAACACAAATAGATGAGAATGACAAAGGTGAACAAAAAGATTCAAATCAAACACATAAAAACAACATAAAAGTGACACAGAGTCATAAAAAGATGATGTTAAGTCAACAAAAAGTGCCAAAGAATCTGCACAATATGTGCAAAAGATATTCACAGAAAACCAAGTGACATGAAAGCGGGAAAAGTGCAAAGGTCATGATTAAGGAAAGGAACACAACAATCATTAAGAGATGCTTAATTCCAACAAAAAAAGTGAAAAATAAACAGAAGAAAATAGTCAAAGAGCATAAAAGAGACAAACAACCTCAAAGAAGTTCAAAAATGACCGCATGAAGAAACACTCAGTGCATCATGGGAAGCCGCCAGCATCATTCGGGTCACTTCCAGGCTTAACCACATGAAACTCAACCTTTTTTAATTAATTGAAAGAAACCCGAATCAAATATCGTAAACTTAAAAGTCTAATTATTTATTTGGGAACATAAAAATACGTTATTATCTCTAATAGTTGCTTATAATTACAAATAAAAATCATGTTTGTTTTCGTTTTATTAAATATTTCTCAGAACAATGTCGCCACCTGCTGGACGTACATCGATATTTATATCACATCTGCTCCCGTGATGCTCTGCGATGGCAGTGTCACATGATCGCGGTACCCAATGACAGTCACGTAGTGACCGTTACTCTCCTGCTATTGGCCGATGAAAATTTAAAAGTACAGTTTGAAAAGTGTCCTGTCGGAGGTTTTAGTGCGCCAGAGAAGTTGTAGGAAAACGGCCTGTGCTTTCAGAGCAGCCCGTAAAAGCTGAATTATACGATTTATTAAGATATCGAAGACTTTGGATTTATATTCGGATAACCCGCAGAGGGGGAGGAAGTGACGCGCAAAACGATATTTGGTGAGTTTTCGTTAGCTAACATTATGATGCTATTTGTCGCTTTTCCTTCGGCTCGTCACATTTGAAGCGGACAAACCGTCTCCCTGCGGTTCATTTCTGTATTGATGATTGTGCTGCTTCATTAATGTGCCCGTTTCATCTGAAGTGCGTGATATAACGGTGTCCGGGAGCAGCTCGGTGCCATGTCTTCAAACGTCCAGAGCGGGGGGAAACGGGAGGAGAAGGGCAGGAACATCCAGGTGGTGGTCAGATGCAGGTAAGGAATGGAAACAGAGTTTCAGCTGTGTTGTGTTTGCTGCTGTCAGTCGCAAACATACTCTAGATGTCGTAAATATCCTCAAAACATCGCAAAAAATGCAGAAACATCACCAAATCCACCTTAAAGCTGTATGTTCACTGCTTCAACTGCCTTCAGTGGGTGTATTTACCTGGAAGACCTTAAAAAGGCTAAAATTGTACTCATAAAACAGGTCACTGACATTTTACAGTCTCAGAAACTAAATGAGAACACTAGCCTGAGCTTACGTGTGGAAAAATCAGCAGTTCTTGCAGACTTAAAGTTACTATTTGAGCCTCTGAGGGAACTCTAACCCATGTGGCGCCTAATTTATCAACAAAATTTGAGTCTCTCTTTTTTACTTTCTTCTATATGTTTATGGGTGTGTTAAAATGTTAGTCAATCCAGAAATGTGCACACAAATGATGCAAAAATACTTGCACAACCACAGAGAAATGCAAAATGATTATAAAAATACAGGAAAAGGATGGAAACAGGACGTCAGGACGCCATCATACTAGCCTCACATGTTTGAGTCTCTCAGTATCCCAGTGCTCATCTATTTGATCTTTAATTTATTGATCATTTTCCTAGAAGAGACCTTAAAGCGCGTGTTTTACCTCTTTATCATTTTTAACATTCAGGGGATGAATTTCCACGACTGAGTGAAAGCCTGTTCATTCCAGTTTAATTGTACTTCAACCTGTATTAACAGGTTTAAAAACCAAGGTGGAAAAAAATGAGTATAAAACCATCCTTTTCTGTTCTAAGGTCTCGTAGCTCACTTACACATCGGTTTGGCAGAATAAAGGTGTAATAAGTTTTTAAAAACCCAGCAGGTGGAGCAAAGACACGCCCCCACTCGTCTAGATCCAAATATTTCAAGCACATGTCAAACACTGAGCACTAACATCACACTAAATAGGTTTTGGATGCTGTTGCTATTTTCTAGCTCTCTAAGTTTTATTGGCTGTTAATTGATCCCTGACAGTTTAGATTTGTGTGATTGTGTCGTTGGACACAAACATGGGTTTGTCGTCCCGATGATCCGATTACTGGAGTCGTCTTCCACGTG